GAACACACCAGGCATTAGATACAAACCTATATAGAAAATTAAAAATACAGACAAAGCTAATGAACCAGATAACGAAATGGCAAAACTACAACAAATTAACCAGACAATCCTAGATAAATATCTTCACCTAACAACTGTTAAAAAGAAAGAGTGGATTACTGATAAAATCCTAAATATGATGGAGAATAGAAAAAGAGCTAAAAACAGAGACATGTGGGAGTATAAACGAATTGACAAAGAAATAAGAAAACTATTAGAAAAACCAAAAACAAATGGTTGGAAGATCAATGCAGAGAAATAGAATTGGAACGACTCGTAGGCACGACTCGTTTAATCTCCACAAGAAGGTAAAAGAGGCGGCAGGAATGTACAAACCCAAGAGATCAGTATATATGACTGATGATCATGGCTACCCGGTAATAGACATTAAACAAACAAAGAATATATGAAAGAGATACGTTGAGAAGACATTTGATGACGACAGAGATAACAACCAGATAATTATAAAATACAACACAGGACCACCAATCACTGAAACGAAGTCAAAGCAGCAATTAAAGCAACCAAAGCAGATAGAGCACTGGGGCCCGACAACTTTCATTCAGAATTTCTGAAAATCATGGGAGACGAAGAAGTAAAATGGCTTACGACAATGTTCAATAAAATCTATGACTCGGGAAAAATCCCAGAGAGCTGGTTTAAATCTACATTTATTGCTATACAGTATTATTAGTCTAATGAGCCACATTCCTAAAACCTTCTTAAAGATAATACACAGAAGCATTTATCAGAAATGTTTGGATTCAAGGATGCGTTAGGTATAAGAGAAGCCTTGTTCGCGGTTCAGGTATTATTGGTACAAGTGCAGAGACGTCAACTGCGATATTTATGTATGCTTTATCGACTACCAGAAAACTTTCGATAGAATAAAGCATGCTAAGCTCATGGATATACTAAAACACCTGGTCTGGATGAAAAAGATCTTCGAGTAAACCAATTAGCAACCATGCAAGTTGCAATAAAGAGAGCACGACTGGGCTGCATACTTTCTCCCCTATTATTTAACGTCTATTAGGAACACGTCATGAGCCAGTCCGTAGAGTACCTATATCGAAGAGGGTATTCTCATAAATGGTGAGCGCCTGAATAACATCAGATATGCAGACGACACCGTTCTCTTTGCAGACAGTTTAGAAGGTTTACAGACACTAGTAACGCAATTGTGGAGAATCAGTCAAGAATACGGACTTGATTTTAACATCAAGAAAACAAAGTACATTGTCATCAGTAAGAAGCATAATCCACCTAGTCAATTACTGGTAGATCAGCAACAAATATTCCAAGTGCTTCATTACTACTAATTAGGAACCGCCATAAAAGACCAATGGGACCACTCAGTTGAGGTAAAACAAAGAATTGAAAAAGCCAGGTCAGCGTTTGTCAGAATAAGTAAGATATTTAAGAACCACGACCTACCCTTAAAAACGAAAATCCGTTTATTGGGATGCTACGTGTTTACAGTGCTGCTCTATGGGGTTGAAGCATGGACATTAACCGAGGTATCCATGAGAAAACTCGAGGCGTTTGAGATGTGGTGTTATAGACGGATACTGAGGATCTCCTGGGTGGACCGAATAACAAACATTAAGGTTCTACGTCGGATGGATAAAATATGTGAAATTATATCCGCAGTGAAACAGCGCAAGCTAGAATATCTTGGACATATAATGCGAAACGATAATAGATATAACCTGCTGCAACTTATATTACAGGGAAATCTATACGGAAAGAGGAGACCAGGAAGGAGAAAAATATCTTGGTTCCAGAACTTACGAAAATGGTTTTCCTTGACCACTTCAGGACTATTTCGAGCTGCGGTCAATGAAGTTAAAATTACTATGCTAGTAGCCAACATCCGTAACGGATAGGAACCATAAGAAGAATACATATAACCCTTAATTTTCATCCTTCTATTATCAACCTCTATTTTTTAATAGCAAAATTGGTGTGTAAATGTTATTAATGTCACAGAGTTAGTTGCCACACTCCTTCGAAAATGCTTGACCGATTTTTATAAAATTTTATATGTATATTCAATTGAATATACTACTTTGAAGTTTTTTTCCAAAAAAGTTGTTTTCATTCAAATCAGCTGACACAGTTTAAATAAGCATAACGTAGTCAACTAGCCTATAGAGTTTTTGAATTCATTGGAATTGCCTGGACACCCACATAACAATTTACAATTAAAAGTAGGATCAGTTGTCATTGTGTTGCGTAACACTAATTAACCTCGACTATGCATTGAAATGATACTGACTGAAAAGTCTAATGATTGATGTCATTGGGACAACGATCATCAATGAAAAATACAAATGAAAAAATTTCTTAATCCCATGTATACGGATGATTTCAACGAACGTACCATGTTTCGGACATGGTACGTTCCTACGCGGGTAAGACCGGTCGTTACTCGAGGCTGTGAAGTAGGCAGATTGAGACCTCAGTGCCGTTTGACGGTTCTTGTATTTATACAGATCACGATACTGGTACGTCACGAGTAAGGGGACTAGGCAGATTGAGACCCCGAACTCGAGCGAAACAGTATCTCTCTTAAAAATCTCTCGAAAATGGATGTCGAAACGTCGAGTATTAATTTCTCAAAGCGCTTCTCAACGAGAACTTGGTAATTTTCATATAGAACCTATATATATATATATATATATATATATATATATATATATATATATTGTTATGCTATGTAATGCTATGTAAAATCGAAAATAATATTGGTTTGCTTAATATATTTCAAAGTACAAAATATAATAATTCAAATAATTTGACTAATAAACTAAAAAATATATTTCGAAGAAATAAAAGTCTATTATCCTAGATTACCTGTAGTAAACAAAATTTTAAAGATATGCATAAATTATTTTCTTTATAAAGTGACGTGAGTGAAATTAGTGAAACCATGAACAATGCGAGCGGGTTCTCCAAATGGACTTGTACAGTGAATAAGACAATACAATAGAATATTTAGAAAATATATTTTTCCGTAAGTTCTTAAGAATTTGTAAAAACCGATTACCATGTTAATAGTTTTTAGTTTGTTATCTAAATGGTAGATGGGTATAAGTGTGACAAACTTTGATTGGAGGGGATTGAAAAAAGTGGGATAGGTATGTAGGAATAAGAGTTTAGCTAGATTTTTGAGGGAGAAAAGATATTCAGTTGTTTTTCCAAGGGTGCAAGGCGAACAGTCTTTGTTCTCTGGTGGTTCCCCAGAGGTAGTAAGCAGTGGAAGTGAATGTTTGTGAGTTTTCGTGGAGTAAGTGTATCTGACAGAAGCTGATCCAGTAAAATATTGTAAGTTATGTTTTTCTACTTATATTCCAAGCGTCACTGTTCAGACCAGAACGAGAGATTCAGTTTATCGAGGGGAGAAGAGGTTAGCATCATTTGAACGATACGTGCATTTGAAGATTATTAAAGATGATAGGCTCGCACCAACTTGTTGTAAGATTGCTGATTACCTAGGGGACTGCTAAGAATAGATAGTGTAGGCTACAAGGAACAAGGATTTGGACAACTCATCATCAGAGAGATAGTTTTACTATTCGTCAGTTTTTCTTTATTAACAACACTTTTTTAACAATTGCTTTAGAAAAGATAGGAATATTTTGATCAGGAGATTTAGAACAATAATTGTGATTTATAGAAGCACGAGTATAACCGTGAGATAAGAAAATTAAATAGTGTGATAGAATCATAATTGCATCATTTAAATACGTTTAATTAATTCATTAATTAGCTAATTAATTGCTTGGCGCACCTCAGACTTTTAATATAACATTAATATATATATATATATATATATATATATATATATATATATATATATATATATATATATATATATATATAGCTATGATGTTTTTGTTTGTGTATGAGCAATGAGTATTTTAAAATAACAAGTATAGGGTTTTTCTCACGGTTCTCAAAGAATTAGTTCGTAAGTACTTTTTTAAATTATCTTTATTATAATTATTATGAAACACACATATATCAGTGTTAAAAGTATAGAAAACATTATTCAATCTCTTCATGATATTTGAAAATATCATTAATATGAAATATTCCTTAAGGTTTATTATCTGCATCTATTAACATATAACTGTTCAGTTATCGGAATTATAAACGATACTTTGATTGTATTTACTCTGTTAAAGCAATCAAGCTAGTAGAGAACAGCGTATGATTGGTATGTATTCACTAAAATCATACTAACATATTCAACCTCCTATAAAGAAGTCCTCCTAAGAAGAAGATTGGAGAAAGATCCTAACTATTTGATTTGGTCTCGACAAAGACAATATATATTTATCAGATTCAAAAAATATTGTTACTTCAATAGCGATACTATACACCATTCGAAAATTATTGATAGGGCAGTTTTTATGACACAACTCATTTGCATTTTATGTCGTTTTGTATTTAAGTTGTATAGATAGAATAGAATATAACTTATTTAGTCAATATACAAAAATAGTTTTGTTATTGACAAGTTAAAGGAATAGTGACATTTACTACATACATACATATAAAATTTTATTAACATTTTTGCGAATTTAAATATTACAGATATTTATTATTAACAAGTTAAGAAATTACAAACACTAAATAAAAATATAAAAACATAAAATATCGTCATGATAGGCAAATACCCTGACCAAACTAGTACTAATGTGTAAAATCTGTACTTAAGTACTCCGTTTTTGAATAGAAACAATGTTTTAAAAAATGTGATTTGATTTTAAGCTTAAGCCATAATAAGTGAAGACTTTTTACATCTGGCAATATGTATATATGTATATATATATATATATATATATATATATATTCATATATATATATATATATATATATATATATATATATATATATATATATATATGAATATTAAATAGTTACCAATATAATATTAAAAAATACGTTACCTTTCGGAACCACTCCAAGTAAAGAAAGAATATTGGGATGTCTAAATGCGCTCATTATTTCCACCTCCCTCAAAAAGTCCTCTTCGGCTTCTTTGTTGGCAGAATCTTTGAGAACTTTTATAGCCACAATTTTAATTTGATCATCTTCGCAAAGTAGTTCTCCTAAAAAAGTGTAATACAAAAAATGTTAAGAACAGGGAACAGGCAAAAAAAGTATAAAGGTATAAAAAAGAGAAAAAGTGGTGTTTTGTAGTGTATAAATAAAAAAATGTGTATTGCTTTTTTTAAGTCCGAAATTGTATAAAGTAATTAAGAGTGAGTCGGCTTGACGGCTCCGTGAGCTGGCAGGTACTAGAAATGTAAGGATTCGTGGTGCGAATCGACATCAGTAAAAATATTATTTATTAAGCTGGGCATTCACGTTCCGACTTTCGATGCCACTTAGTAGAACCACAGTATATTGCTTTAGAACTACTAGTTGGATATTCGTCTCCACTCACACTCCAACTTGCTATCCAACTAGCGGTCCAACAAGTCCAACTTCAGTTCTATTTTGTTTTCACGACGATGTACATCGCTTAACCAAAACAATGTATCGAGTACACTACGCAAAATATAATTAGGAGGAGGCAAATGACAGCATTGTGCTTATTATCCTTATCATTTGAAAAAAAAAGAAGAAACAATGCTGGATGAAGAAATTATTTGTTGATCGTGTGAATTATTGTGACACGAAATTGCTTAATGTCATTGATGAAGATGATTACAAAAACTACCTCAGAATGGACAACTTTACTTTTTCGCTGTTGCTGGAAAAAGCTGGTCTACTCATTTCCAAAAAAGATACCGTCCGTCATGCGTGAATATGTCATTATTGAACAACGCCTTGTAGCAACTTTACGCTTTCTGGCCACTGGAAAGTCATTTGAGGATCTGAAGTTGCTGTAAAATATCTCTACAACTATTGGGAAAAGTGATACCAGAAACTTGCAAGGCTGTAATAATTTTTCGTGCAATTAATAGTATATTAATATATGAGGCGGAGAAGCATGACTTTTCTGGAGAACGAAGTGAGGCCCGTAATAGAGGGCAAGTCAAGAAAAGTCGCTTCTTTGCCGAATAAAGTATACTATATTTTCTTCAAACGTAGCAATTTTCAACCATAAATAGTACAATTCATACGCTATTTTTACTCGAAATTAACTGTGACAACTATCAAAGTCGTCTAGATGTTAGAAATTAAAATAATTAAGTCGTCGGTGGGATTTGCGTCTCCCTGGTTACAGTTGTTTGACGGTTGTTTGCAATTATTAAAGACAGTTTATTTACTATAAATAAAAATGATGTTTAACTGTTGTTAATGACATTTGTATTGTTGTTTTGTGACATGTTTCATATTGTTGCCATGACAACATTTTTCCCTCCGCCGTAAAGAAATGGGAAAAAAAACTGCTGCCGGCGGAGACATCAAACTTTGACAGGATCAAGTTATGTAAGTAATGTCATCATTATTTGACGTTTGAAGAAAAATAGTACATTGTTTACCGGGTAGGAAAAGCTTAACATTCCTGGACGACTGTGAAGATTGCTAAGTCGAGGCGCAAGCCGAGACTTAGCAACACAGAGTCCAGGAATGTGGCTTTTCCTACGAGGTAAACATACTATTTTTCCGCAAATCGTTTAAAATTCGACAGATATTGATTGATTAAAAAAAAACGCGATAATTTTATTCCCAAATAAATGGTGCTTTGAAATTCCTAATAAAATTACTTGGGTTACTATGGAAACGTATTGAGGTTGAATTGTCAAACTTCTATCATTTATGTAGAACACTAACAACTGTACGGAAATATGACATTTCCTTACAGTAAGGAAGACCTGACTTTTTCTTCAAGAAATTTTGACAGGAATGTCAAAATTTCCTGGCGATTTGCGGAAAAGTTATTTTCTATTATTTATTTGCGAACTAGAGATCTTTGCTCAGCGATGTCGGACAGACAGCACCAATTGAGATTTTGTTTGGAGCTGATGTTGTAAGCAAATTGTATACAGGGGAGAAACATCAGTTACAAGGTGATCTTGTAGTAAATTTACTATTTTAATTGGAAATAAACCTGAGTATTAGTTAGAAATTAAATTTATTTGACGTTTGGACTTCCACTTCGGAAATCGTTATCAGGATATTCCGAAGTTAGAAGTCGAAACGTCAAATAACTAATATTCAGGCTTATTTCCAATTAAAATAGTAACTTTGCATAAAATGCTACAAGAAAATAACTTCAGAACAATATAAAAAACAGTTAATAACCTAAATAGATCTACAGAAAGGAAAATGATTTGTTCCAACAAAAAGTACATTGATGGTGATGAAGAATCGTATATTTTTATAGGGCTAATTCTCGTAAGTTTATTTTTTATTATATATTCGAGAACTGGAGATCTTTGTGTAAAGTAATTCATATACATCTCATACGTAACAGGTGCCGAAGGTCAACTGACTGAGGAAATTTTCGATTCGACCTGTGACAGAGAACTGTTCTCTGCCTCAGTCTGCCTGTGATCCAACTTCCAACTTCACCTTTCACCATTCACGCTCCCACTTCGTCGCAGTCGGAAGTCGGGCCTTTAAGTCGTCCCTCTAGAGCAGAGGTTCTCAACCTTTTTGTGGCGACGGAACACTTTTAATTACCGAAAAAAATTGCGGAACACCAAAGCAATAACATGCATATATTGATAAACAAATTAGGATTAGCACATACATTCTGTAATAAACTTTATTATACGTACTTAAATTTGTAAAATTTTACTTAAAATATGAAAACAAAAAACATTTTTAAAATTAACAAAGGCGTAATTCTCAAAATACAAAATCATATGAGTAAATACTTCAAATTAGTGAGACACTTGTGTCTGGTGTCGCTTGCAAATTTGCTCAATATCAGGCCTGATGTGGAAAAGAGCTACACTCATTTCTTGTTCTAAGTTTAGCACCCTTTCCCGTTTCTTATTTTTAATGTTTGTTAAAGATGAGAACCCAAATTCACATAAATAGGACATTGAAAACTGTATTAAAATACTAATCGCTTTTTTGGCAAGAAGTGGATATTCCTCTTGGACCAAGATCCAAAATTCCTTAACATTCACTTCTGAAAACTTAATTTTCAGAGTACGATCAGATGACAACGAAATAAATTCTTCTTCTTGGTTCAGAGAAAACTGGAAATTGGCTGCATTACTTGTGCTAAAAGGACTTCTTATCCAGTCATATTTTTCTACGTTCAGAGATGGAAAATACCTGGCAATTGTTTCCTCTAATAGTGATAAGTGTTCTGTAACTATATGCGTGATTTCTTGTTCTTTATCTTCATTACCTTCATTCTGAAGCAGTGGAAACATATCCATTTTATTTGTCTCTAAAATGCGCTTCTTCCAAAATGACAATTTTTTCTGGAAAGCTGACAGCTTGTCCGTGGATGTTAAAATATTTTCATTTTTGCCTTGCATACTTGAGTTAACGCCATTTAAATAATTAAAAATATCGGCCAAATATGCCACTTTAGTGCACCATGCATAATTTTCAAAATATGTGGCAAATGTGTCATTACCTTCTTCTTGGAAAAAAGTTAACAGCTCCGTTGTAAGTTCATAAATTCGACATAATACTTTGCCCCTAGACAACCATGTAACTTCGGTGTGCAGCAACAAACATTCATACTTTGATACCATTGAGATGCAGAGTTGTTTAAAAAGACGGGTTTTTAGTGGTCTTGATTTGATGTAATTCACGACATTAACCACTTGGTCTAATACAGATTTCAAAGTAGCTGGTAGCGTTTTTGAAATTAGAGATGCTCTATGCAAGAAACAGTGCGTAGACATGATATTTTCATTTCGCTTTTTTGCAAGGGTACAAAAACCTTTTATGGAGCCTACCATGGAAGGGGCACCATCCGTACAAATTCCTACGCAAAAGTCCCATGATATATTTTTTTTCTCTAAATATGATGTTATGGAATCAAATACATCCTGACCTGTTGTACGTGCTGTAAGTTCTCTGCAGCATAAAAACTGATTGACTATTTCACCTTCGTCGACAAATCAAATAAATCCTAATAAATGAGCTTTGCCACTAATATCAGTGGATTCGTCCACCTGCAATGCGAAGTTTTTTTTGTAAAGTTTATTTGTAACTTTTTCCTCAATATCTGCAGATAAATCAACAATCCTCCTTCTTATTGTATCATCCGACATAGGAATTTTCCGTATTTCGTTTTGTGCATCGTTGCCAAACATAATTTTGACCATCTCACAACATGCTGGTAATATAAGAGATTCTGCAACAGTGTGTGGTTTCTGTTTCAAAGCAATTAATTCGGCGACCTTATATGAAGCTATTTGTGCTTTGTCGGAAATTGTTAGCGACCTTTTAAATTGTTTCGCTTGTTTAGCTGGTGTCTCCAAAAGTCGCTTGAAATAATCTTTATTTTTTGAAGCTACACTAGCGTGTTTGGTAGTAAAATGGCGTTTTAATTTAGCCGGAGCCATTGCGCTATTAGCGAGTGTCTACCCACAAACAATATACTTGGGAATTGGACAGTCTTCTTCCCCAGTCCAAATGAAGCCATAATCCAAATATTCATCCAAATATTGCCGGTTCAACATTTTTTTGCTGCGCTTCGATTTGTCATCAACCCCACTTCGTAAAGTTCCAGTATCTCCGCTGGTGCTCGCTTCATCATCATTAATTATGAGTTGTTCTACAGTAGTTTTTCTTTTACGCTTGAGGAACTTATCCATTTTAATTTATTCGTCTCTAAACAAAATAATGCGGATGAATGCTTCACATTTTGTATAAAACATGCAATTACTTACCTTTGATAGATAAGCCGTACGTAAACGTTATCATAAAAAAACTGACACAGCGATTTTCACGTATTACGTTTGTGCAATGTAACAAATTCAACATTCAGTTGCAGTTGCATACTGTGGCGTGGGGTGGGTGACTCAGATTGGCTGTGGCCACTGCGGAGCTCAGCGCTTATAAAATCCAACGTGTGCACTGTGCCGACGCGGTGTTGTCACGTTGGGCAAATGAACATTTACGCTGCAGAATTTTATTAAATTAAAATGTACGTAAGTGGCTATTTTAGAAAATATTTATTTGAAAAGAGTAATTTAGCAAAATGGTATGTAGGATTGCGAGTATTTCGCGGAACACTTGGAAGGAATTCGCGGAACACTAGTGTTCCGCGGAACACCGGTTGAGAACCACTGCTCTAGAGGTTCCGACTCATAGCATTAGTTGTTCAACTAATCCAACCAGCCCACTCACGGTCCGATTTCAGATCCAACTGTGGAAGTTGGACAAGTTAAATGTTTTTAAAACATTTCAAATAAATCACACTCACTAAAATGATTTAGTCGTTATTGTTCACAATATAATCGTCATCGTCATCGCTTTCGATGGCGTTAATTATTATTATAATGGGACTTATTTGGTTTATTTTATTTTCACGAATACACTAATCTTTTAATTAATTTTTCACACTAGGATATACAGTTCCGTCCAACGATGTATTATACTAAGGATGGAACCTACGAATAAATAGTTGCGTCCAAAGTGGCTGATAACAATGGCCGATTCTTGCTTCCAGAATGTCAGTGGTATACGAAAAAAAATCTTTTGGTACATATAGATGTATAATAATTACTTATTTTTGTTGTTATTTACATTTGAATAAAAAATATGACGGCGTGTAACTTTGTAAAATTTAAAAATTATTATTATTATAACAAAAAACAGATATTTTACAGATACGTAGTTGCGCATGCCACTGATGTGACTGAATGTAAAATATTAGAAATTTAACGAATTTATTGATTTACTATAGTATATTTAGCTTTAAGCACTATTCTATTATGTTAATACATTACACTCCAATACATTAAATAAAATTAAAGAATTGGTTAGTTCACACTCTGTGTTAAAAAATTTTGATGAAACTCAGGAGATAGTATTTCGAACTGATGCTAGTCAAAATGGGCTAGGGTGCTGCTTGCTACAAAACCAAAAATCTCTTGCTTTTGCTTCAAGGTCTCTAGCAGATAATGAAACACGGTTTAGCCAAATTGAAAAGGAGTATCTAGCCATTCTATGGGCTTGCAATAAATTTAATAATTATGTTTATGGACGTCATATTCAAATTAACTTCACAGAGGAGAAAAAAACAAGTTTTCATTGAAGAGACATTAAAGGATATTGTATTACAAAGATTAACAAACTATTGCTTAAGGGGATGGCCTACAGATAATAGTAAAGGTCCGGAATCACTTAAAAGATATTATTCAATTAGAGATGATATACATCTATGTAATGATTTGCTGTTTGCAGAGGGATGCTTTCACTGTTGCATGAGAATAATTTTGGTTTTACTAAAACTCAAAAATCGAGCAAAGCATATTTTATATTGGCCTCAAATAAATGCTGATATTGAAAATTGTATTAAGGAATGTAAGACTTGTGAACAACAGTGAAATTAACAACCCCCCAGATCTTCCAAATATATGTGTCGTTCATTATTATATAAATTGTTGAAACAAATCAAGTTTAAGTAAGTAAATATGGGTTAACCACAATTATATAGTAAATAAAACGTGCAACCCAAAAATATAGTATGTCTGAGTTAGGGAATCAATTAGAAGCTTTATTCTAATTAGACCAGGGCGGATCTGTTTTGAAGTGGATGTGAAATGTGGCATTTGGATTTTTGCAGAAAAAGTTACGTACCTAATATAATTTTATTAATAATAATTGACTTGCTCCCTCTCAAATATGCCTGGAATATTAATAAAAAAATAAAATATTTAAAAATTACTAAAAATAATATATTAGAAGAGAATTGGAAAAAAATATTCTTCAAACATAAACAAACAAAGTTGGGTTAGAATCGACGTGTGAGGTTGTCCGATACTGATTACTGCATTACCGCAAGACCGAGATAATCAACCAAACAAGAAGATGTATTTGGAGACTTTTCTAGTACGTTCTTATGGGCGAGTTTGTCTTTTTAGTTTACTCCTCTTGGTTAAAAAACAAACAAACAAAACTAGTAATAGTGGCCTACAAAGATTTAAAGCTGGAAACTTTTTTAGGTTTGTACTATTTTTATAGTTGGGCAGTGTTGTTAAAGTTTGAAATCATATTTCATGAAACAGCTAGACAAGGTGCTAGAACAAAACCAGATAATCGCCCCATACAAACTATGGGGCGCAGAAAATACAAAACATCGTCGATATAAATTTTGAATTTTAAAATTTCATATATGTCATTAGTGTCAAAATGTCAAAATTTAGTGAAGTAAACTTGCCTGCGGTTGGATCAATTACAAACAAGCATTACGGTGCTTCAAATTTGAATTACTCCTCCTGGTTAAAAAAAACATAGGAATGTTGTGAAAATGCAATACAGGTATGGAAATGATGATTCCCAATTTTTAAATATTGAATGAGATTAAATTTGAAAGTGACTATGAACTTAATAGTAGCAACAGCATTATTTCATAACATCACCATAGAAAATGAAGTCTTGTTTTCTTAAGATCGTAATTTAGATAAACAAAAAAATCATTTAATTAAAGACAGAAACAGAAAGAAACAGAAAAAAAAAAGAAGACAATTCCCTCAATTTCAACGAGAACTTGAGGGAACATTATTGTAAATTATGTATTAGACAAAATTTTGCAGAACTCGATAGACAACTTAAAAAAAATATATTTTCTATTGAACCAACTGTTTTGCTTCGATAGAAACAAAATGTCAATACAATACGCACAGATGACTCTGACAGAAGAAGCGAAAACTAGATTACTAAAAATAAATCAAGAACATACGAAATATATATATATATATATATATATTATATATATATATATATATATATTATATATATATATATTAATTTTAGGTACTACCAACAGAGATAAAGTACCAAATATAGAAATAAGAAGAAGATCAGGAGTCACGGATGCAGTTGAAAGAATAGCCATAGCTAAATGGGCTTAGGCTGAGCAAGTTGCTAGATTGACAAATTATAGATGTACCACAAGATTCTGGAATTGCGACTAAGATAATAGGCATATCGAACAGAGGACTTGGAAAATTTATATATTCCGCTACAATTCACAATTCTTCGTAGCAAATAAAGTGTGGACGATAGAAAAATTCAAGTTTAGTTTCGGCTTTTTAATAACACTGTACATAATGAACGCCATGTTTTATCAATATCATAAAAAAGGTTGATTTGTCTTGACCAGCGTTATTACCTTTTAAAATCATGGACCTATAATACGTCCATGTTTCAAATGCTTTTTAGAAGTTTCTACACTTTACATCAACATGACTTTGTGAGTTCAGTTAGCCACAGAAGACTTACTTAGAAGGCTTTATTGACATACTAATTGATTTAAAGTAATACAAATACTATGTCTAAATACAAAGTTATAAATTATGTAACATATAACTATTTGCAAGAATTCTGTAGTTACAAATTAACATAATTGGCCCATTGGCTGTATATTCAGAATCATCGCTTTTGTGAAGTGAAACTGAATATACAGATTGAACCAAATTAAAACGGAACATACAATTTAATACATGTGTGTTTGAACTGCATTTGAAATAGTGGACCAATATAAAACTCGGACAAAAATAAATCCATACCTAGGTATAGACATTGTATAAAATATCGTTCAACTATCTGTCTCACAACAATGTTGTTTGCATAAGACGGGTTTGTCTAAGGAAACGATTATAGTTCAGGAAATAAAGCTCGAAAATAGTTAAAACCTCGCAATTTTTTCGTCCTGCATGTATCCATTTGAAATTTTAACAAAAGGTAGGTGATAGCCCAAGGATCAAAATCTATATCGAACCGAAGTGCGCTGAAGGGGTGAAAACTACCCGTAATTGTCAAAAATTATAAAATAACATATTAAACCTGAATATGGGTAAGATTTGGTTTGAATTAGTTAAATAATGATTATTTTATACTTTTGAATAGAGTTCCATCATATTTCAACCCTTAAAAAGCAACCCTTGTTAGAGATTAATGTAAAAAAATTACCAATTATAAAAAAATTATTTCGCCTTGGATCGATTTGGATAAAAATTTGGATTTAAGCTCAATTCACCCGCTGCTTTATAGTTTATGTCATGTCCAAGAACCCTGATTGTTCTAAGGGGTGAAAACTACCCGTAATTGTCAAAAATTATAAAATAACATATTAAACCTGAATATGGGTAAAATTTGGCTTGAATTAATTAAATAATGATAGTTTCGTGCTTTTGAATAAAGTTCCATCATATTTCAACCCTTAAAAAGCCACCCTTATTAGAGATTAATATAAAAAAATTAGTAATGCGAGAAAATGATTTCACCTTGGAACGATTTGCATAAAAATTTGGAATTAAGCTCAACTCACCCTCTGCTTTATAGTTTATGTCATGCCGATGAACCCTGATTGTTCTTAGGGGTGAAAACTACTTCTAATTTTCAAAAATTGTAAAATAATATTATAAATCTTAAGATGAGTGAAATTTGGTTTGGATTAGTTAAATAGTGATTTTTTTATACTTTAAAATACAAATTCATACATTTTCAACCCTTAAAAATCAATTATTATGAGTGCTATAGGTGAAAACAATTTTTTGCCAAAATTTTGCAACTTTTCAACTTTTGAAAATCACCCTTTACAACATTGCAGTTTTTATAAACTAATTTATAAGATATAAATTGAAAAAAGTAGAATTAAATACAAAAAAATTTATCAACATAAAAAGGCACCATATATTCTTATACATTTACATAAATAGTTGAAAATATTTACATTTATAGGTAAAACAATTGTAATATTAATTTTATTCGTCATCAATTACATCTTCATCGTGATCTATGTCATCTTCATCTTCAATTATTGGTGGACTATTATTGCACCCTTCACCTGAGCACCCAGAACAAGTAGAGTTACAGTATAAACCAACTTTTCTGCACCCACATGAAACACCGCATCCTTTTTTGCATTGCCAAAAAATAATTTTCAAAAGTTCATCGAGTGCAGGTTGTTTGTTCATGCGTACGGGTAATAACAAACCATCTTTGGAATACCATCCCCAATCTGTTGCTCTAATATTTTCATTGCCAAGCCATAGACATATGAGCAGATGTTTTATTCTGTTGTATGGGATTTCAAAATAAGAACGCTTAAAATTTCGAATGTATAACGCCCCACTAGCTAATATACCGGTTTTGTAGATTACTATGCTCCGAAATGTACTGTACTATACTAATAAAATTTTCCGGAAAAAAATTCACTGGTTTTTTTTAACGTATTTCCTTTAATTTTTAACGATAGAGTGTTTCTTCAAAAACGATTTGTAGAGGTTTTTAAGAGCTACAAGAATCTGTGAATTAAATCTTTTTGGAACCCTTGGTTTTTAAATGGGGTGAGTTTAAAGGGATCGAAAAAGATGGTGCTTGATCGTAAATCGATGCTTTAAACGGCTATATCTTGCCAAATATTCATTGTACAACAAATCTAAATGAAGGATAATTTTAGTCATTAAAAAAGCTACAATTTGGTAATTTGTATTTTTTTTATATATTCAGTATTTTCGGGCATATTTAAAAAAAGAAGGGTAAAAAATATGAAATTGTAAATCGTTTCTCGCTTTAAGCTGTACTTTTTATAACACAAAGCATTTTAAATGGGTCAAACTTCTTGGACATATTAACAATACATGTACAAAGGGAATTTCAGAAGGGTGAAGATCGATTTTAATTATGGGGATGGTTAGGGGGTTGTTTTCAACGATTTTTTCGTAAAAAATGAGGTATTGACCTTATTTTCATCATAACTCACTCAATTTTTCAGCTAGAGTCTTTTTTATTAGAGATGATACGAAATACTAGGAACAAGTATTTGGTAATAGGTATGAGCATATAACGTAACGTAACAGCTACCGGTTTTCTAAAATACTAGTTCCAGTTCCATCTAGATTTGTTCAATGACACGACGCACATAGAATGTATCAAGCCTGGTAACTGTAACTGGTACTGTTAATGTACACAACACAATAACGTCGATACTCGATACCTGCGCTGCGCTTTGTTATCGATATTTTGGTATTGGTATTAGCATTGATTATAAACCACTACCACTGGTATATTGGTAGTGGTTTATAATCAATGGTATTAGGAATACTTGGATATCGATACGCACAGGGAACAGTTGCATTTTTTGGATAGGTAATAGTTCTCTAGGTACTGAGGATTGGCGGTTCGGACTTCGGGATTATTACGGTGGTGTATACAAGATGTGAAATTAAACGTATTAAATCTATCATAATATTGGTCCCTTGGTTTTACTATATTATTCTAGAAGTATTTTAATTTGATTTTGTTTGAGTGTAACACATATTTTTATGAAACTAAAATAAAAGAGTATATAAATTTTCTGCGTGTGTAAATAACTTTTTAATATATTGAAAATTAAAAAAAAAAGCAAATAAACATTACATTTGATATGGGATAATAGGACCCATCGAGTTAGCAAATACAAATATTTAGGCACTTTTATAAATGAAGACAACGATAGCTCAGCGGAAATCAAAATAAGAATAGAAAAAGCCAGATCCATATTCACTAAAATGAAGAGAGTGTTCTGCGGAAGAGATTTGAGCCTTGAAATGAAACTTCGCCTGATGAGATGTTACGTACTTTCTGTGCTGTTTTACGGAATGGAGTCATGGACGTTAAAAAAGATTGATACCAAAAAATTAGAGGCATTTGAACTGTGGATGTATCGCAGAATCCTGAGAATATCATGGACCGAGAGAGTCACAAATGTCGAGGTCTTGAGAAGAATGAACAAAGAAAAGGAAGTCATATTTACAATCAAAAAACGAAAACTGCAATACTTGGGCCACATTACAAGAGGCGAAAGATATGAACTGCTTCGAATAATTATGCAAGGGAAAATAGCAGGAAAAAGGTCCATAGGAAGGAGACGAAACTCCTGGCTAAAGAATCTACGGGAATGGTATAGTTGTAGCAACAACGAATTGTTTCGGTCAGCAGTTTCGAAAATACGTATAGCCCTGATGATCGCCAACCTTCGGAACGAAGATGGCACTTGAAGAAGAAGAATAGGACCCATATAACATTGTAAGCGCTATTTATTGATGCCTTTTGTTTATTTTTACGGGTGGCGTGAAGTCCCATTTATATTTTGTATTATAATAGAATAACTATTTTGTTTATGGTAAAACATTTATTTAAATAAAAATGTAATTCTTAAAATATACCTACATATTATTTACTATAATAAACTGGATAAGTGTACCTAACACAAAAATAACAAAAAAAAAATGAGATCGTTTAAAAAAATAATACACGAGTAGTTAACAAAACACAAAATATTTAACTTATATGTAAAACATTAGAAAAAATTTGAATTAACACTTAAAAATAATAATTGCTCTAATTCATTGCCTTTCAAGCGATTTCGTTTTTCCTTTAACTCCTTTTAATTGTCCTCCTTACAGACTGCGATCTGCGTCTGGAATAGACGTGGAGTACAAATGTAAAAAATACTAGGTTAAAAAGTAACTAGTATTTGGAACAGGTACGAACATGGAACCGGAACGTAACGTAACTGTTACCGAAAAATACTCATTTGTATCATCAGTATTTTTTATGATAGGTCTATTTATGCTCTTTAAAAAAGGTTTTGTGAGTTTTCTTCCAAAAATGCATCATTTTCCCGATATTTGATTTTGAATCTTTCAAATTTGGCATTTGAAGAAAACCGCTGAACATTAATAGGCCGTATTTCGGTTCCTGTTATATCCCAAAAACATTTTAAAAAATGAATTGTATTTGTCTTTTTAAAAGCTACAAATTTGTTCTCTACAATTTTTTTGATAAAATGCACCATTTTCGAATTATTCGCGAAAAATCGATTAAAAACGTGGATTTTTTCGTCTAAAAGTTATTACTTTCAATCGCGAATAACTTAAAAAATATCATTTTATAAAAAAAATGTATAGCACATTTTTTGTTTAGAATCACTTTTTTAATCGAAACCTGTAGTTAAAACGTAAAAAAAAATTTCACCCCGGAGATGGGGTGGCAACCACCCCTTAGGCTTTGGCGCACTTTGGTTCGATATAGATTTTGACCCTTAGGCTATTACCTACCCTCTGTTAAATTTCAAGTCAATCCAGGGAGCACGAAATAATTGCGAGATGAAATGTTTCATTTCCTGGACTATAACTGGTTTGACAGCATAAATCGTAGATTTATGTGTAGCTTTCAATTTTTATGAGTTCAGAATCCAGCAGCCCACTGAAGTATTGGATTTTTATAATATAAATATTTGACAATATTTTGTTGGCCAACCACCTACAGCAGAATTGAGCCGAAATACATTATATTCCTATGTTCCGAATTTATTTCGTTCAATCTGTATATATTTTTCATATATCTGGATATTGACATTAACTTGCTTGATTATCATATTGAATATTATTGTTGTCATATTGAATATTATTGTTAGTGGTGTAGCGAATACATTAATAATGTTTTTCTTCCAATACGTAGTTAATTAATACATTAATATGTGGAACTGAAAATTTGACTTAAAATAATGTTAAAACATAATAATTATTTAAAAATTAAATAGACAAAAGAGAACAGATTACAAAAGTGTTAAATTACGTTTGAAAATTACTGATAAGACAATTTTTATGACATATATATTGTAAGATGTAAAATGTTATCAGACTGGTCATATTTTTATAAAGTCTTGAACAAAACTGAGCCAAAATATATCGATATTTATAATTTTTGTGCTTTAAACAGTACTGTAAATACCGTTGTAAGCTTCTACCATAAAAACTGTACTATATTGCATTTTTAAACCGAGTATACTATTTTCAAGAGTTATTTCTTTGGAGATTAGATTTGTTGAATAATTTATTTAATAAAAGTCACAATTTTTCAGGATTTCTTTTAATATAAAACCTTAATTTGTCATTTTACTAATGGACGTAATTCTGTCAATGGTAATTTTGTAACATTTACATTTTTTGAAACTGTTACTTGTTGAATAATAGAGGGGATATATTTTTTAATAGTGGTATATAAGGATATAATTACGCTAACGTTTAGGATACAAATACCACTAACTGTAATAATTCCGGATTGAAAGAATCCCGAAGAAATGAAATATTTTCATTCCTTAACCATTTTGCTTATTTAAATTTTCCGAATGGCATAAGGCATTAACCAAAACTATAACAGACGGTTCGTGAAAACTTGGAAGCAGTTTTTCTTTCAACAATTTCACAAATATCACCGTATTTATGTTATCGTGATAATGAGACGATATTGATTTTGATTTGATTTTGATATTGATCGATATGATATGTCCTGTTTCCTCTTTTACCAGTGTGTTTTATGGATTTTATACTCTCGTCCTCATAAATACATACTTCAGTTTCCAGTGAGCAAAAATCCACGTTTCGTCTAATCTAAATAAACAAATGAAACGTGTTTTTTTTTTTAATTAATTATATCAAAAGGATTCACTGTAAATAACTTCTTATTAACACTGTAAAAAAATATTATAAAAGGATTTTTTTAATTCAATTTAGAAATTACTTCAATATTATGTTTTTATGGGATTAAGCCACAATTATTCGTTGTGATTCTGATGATTGGTGCACATGAATTGGATCTCGCTTGCAGGTAATAAGCTCTCTTTTGATAAAAGGGTTTGCGAGAATTGACCCCGATGAAATTCTTGAAAATTTAGATGGGTAGGCGATGGATTTTATTGGGGTGGATGGCCAGTTAACAATTGGATTTTTCCATCATTCTTTAACCCTTGAACACTCTTGTAGGTAATAAAATGCTTAATACTCTTAACACGTAAAATTTACGTATATTGTATTAACAAATCTAAGAACAGTGGTAAATTAACAAAATATTTGTTGCAAACCTAAATACACAAAAAAACTCTTACTAATAACATATTCAGGAAAAAAAAATAACATATTCAGGAAAAAAA